TTATAACTTTAAAGTGAGTTCCTTCTTCTACTTCTTCTTCTTCTTCTTCTTCCTCCTCCTCCTCCTCTTCTCCTTCTTCTTTGTCTTCTTCTTCTTCTTCTTCTTCTTCTTCTTCTTTTTCTTCTTCTTCTTCTCCTTTGTCTTCTTTTCTACTTTTTCTTCTTCTTCTTCTTCTTCTTCTTCTTCTTCTTCTTCTTCTTCTTCTCCTTCTCCTTCTTCTCCTTCTTCTGTTTCTTCTTCCTCTTCTTCTTCTTCTTCTTCTTCTTCTTCTTCTTCTTCTTCTTCTTCTTCTTCTTCTTCTTCTTCTTCTTCTTCTTCTTCTTCTTTGTCTTCTTTTCTACTTTTTCTTCTTCTTCTTCTTCTTCTCCTTCTTCTTCTTCTTCTTCTTCTTCTTCTTCTTCTTCTTCTTCTTCTTCTTCTTCTTCTTCTTCTTCTTCTTCTTCTTCTTCTTCTTTTTTTTTTTTTTTTCTTCTTCTTCTTCATCTTCTTCTTTTTTCTTGTTCTTCTTTTTTTTCTCCGCGTTCACCGGCTGTAAATTCCAACGAAAAGTTATGGTTGTTTGTTCAATTCTGGATTTCGGTCTTGCTCCAAAACCTGAATTTTTACCTGCTCGCCCGTTTCACAGATCTGAATTGCACAGGGGCGTCAAATAAAGCCAAAACCAAATGGCAAAGAGAACTGGAGATTGAAATTAAAAGGATAGAAAAGTTGTGGGTTGATGGCAAGTAATAAGATGACTTAGTGTGTGTTGACTGAGGACTTGTGCTCCAGCTGGGAATAATGGGCAGAGCAAGAAGACAGAACTGGTGTCGACAGCCGCTAGACGCAATAGGGTTAACAGAGGGGATGATCAGTGCACTTATGGATATTAGAGTTCGATGTTCTCTGAGGATGATCTTTCGACTAACTTACTAACTGTATTCAGATGCTCTCTATGTCAGCTTCATGGCAGACAGGTCACCGCATGGTTGCTCCGTTCCTGTGCCAACAAACGCCACACAGAATGTCCATCACTGTTCGCGAAATGGGAACTTTACGGCTACAGAGCCTTCATCAGCGCATACATAAATCAAACAAAAACCACACGAAAATACAAAAATCACTTAACTGACGTATCCCGAAGCAGCCACGTTGATGTCTTGCCAGTGGAAGGAGGAGACTACATGGGGCCTGAGAATATATATAGTCGGGAAATGGCAAGGGTCGAAACCCGAAATTGTGTTTACAGTTCAATCCTCTGGTTGTGAGGGTTTCTACAGTAAAAATAAAGCTATTTTCAAGGGACTTGCCGACTCTGTCGCTGAAGTGGCTAGATTTATTGGCTGTCACCTCCATGTCGTGGACACCTTAGTGATCCTTGGAGTTGAAGTGCAACAGTACCGGTTTAAAGTCACCGTTCTGCACATCCAAAAGAGGTTGTCTGAACCTGTCAGCCAGTTGTGGACCCGTTTCGCTGATATTTCATGCCACATCTCTTGCAGTTGATGGCGTAAATAACACTGAGGCCTGCACTTCAATGGAATGCTTCACGTATGTGGAAGGTAGCATTCGGGAATTCCAGTCTTGTCCCTTGAACCATATATGGACAAGTCCTGCATACCGCAGGATAACGGAAAGCAGCGATCAGAACTGCCCATAGAAAAGTCCAAAACCCATAAATGCAGTTAGTCGTCGAAGAAGGCAGCAATTACAAGTGATAATTAGTTGCATACGTAATTAAAATCGCATAAGGCACCACCAGTTGTCTGTCACGAGGTTTTTCGCTATTTTTTGGAATCTACAATTTTCAGCACAGTCTACGTTAAACATAGCTGGGGAAAAAAACCATTACAAACGAAATCTGCAGCCTACAGTGCCGCGCCATGCACACTGCTCAGTAGCTGGGAGACGAAACGGTATCCTTCCAGTCCACATATGGAGGAAAATGCAACGGCTAACAATTGTCTGAAGCCAAAAATTTGCCACGAATAAAATCAGTAAACCATTCTATCAACCATATGATCGGAAGTAACAACTAACTAGCAGTCAGCAAGTCGCGTTTCAAAACCCTGTGGAACCGTTTAAACAAATTGTTATTTAGCCGTCTCCACAACGGAGGTTAGCTGTAGTGCATTCATTGCTGTCTGTTGGAATATTACCTACTTCCATGGTGTCATTCTCATACCATTTTCTGAAAGCACCAAGAACAGTCCTATTCTTAACTGCCCACTGGCTCATTTGTTTGCAGACTTCTTCTTCTTCTTCTTCTTCTTCTTCTTCTTCTTCTTCTTCTTCTTCTTCTTCTTCTTCTTCTTCTTTTTCTTCTTCTTCTTCTTCCTCCTCCTCTTCTTCTTCTTCTTCTTCTTCTTCTCCTCCTTCTTCTTCCTCCCCCTACTCCTCTTCCTCCTCCTCCTACTCTTCTTCGTCTTCTTCTTCTTCTTCTTCTTCTTCTTCTTCTTCTTCTTCTTCTTCTTCTTCTTCTTCTTCTTCTTCTTCTTCTTCTTCTTCTTCTTCTTCTTCTTCTTCTTCTTTTTCTTCTTCTTCTTCTTCTTCTTCTTTTTCTTCTTCTTTTCTTCTTCTTCTTATTCCTCCTAACGTTCGCCGGATCTACACTGCGACGTAAAGTTCTATTCACTCGTCCACTTCTGGATTTTGGTCTTGGTCCAGAACTTGAATATGCTTGCACATTTGTTTTACAGATCTGTCTTACGTGCATGCAGCACGTTGTCTCCTCGACTCACAGACAGATGCACTCCGTCTTCAAATAAACCCCTAAATAGTCGCCTTTTACGAAATTATTTGACTAACTAGATTTTCGGATGTTCAGCAGGAAATGCTGTGTGTCTTGGAAGCAAGAATAATCAACTGTAGAGGTTCTTTTGAAAAACAAAGCATTGCCCGGCTCTCTAGCGTAATTGGCTAAACCGGATTGCGCGGAGACCGGGTGACGAACTCCTTGTGGTCTGGGTTCATTCCCGGGGGTAGGCAGAAAAACCACATTTCTCCCAGATTTACGGTATTTACAATGGAATCAAGGCCGAAAGGTTGCGATATCCATAATACCGAGCCTAAGGGTTAACAACTCGTGGCTTCTGGATACTAAAACAAACAATCAAACAAAAAACAAAGCATTGAGAGAAAGCAGATGAAAGACATTTCAGTAAAACAAAAACAAACACACACAGACACACACACACACACACACAAGATTAGTGACATGTTTCAGCCACGACTATTATACTGCACTTTTATTAAACGATATTAAAAGAAAACCACAACAATTGCATAAGATCTTAATAGGTTGGGAATATTCAGGCAGTTCATGAAAGCATTTAATTTCAAAAAAAAAAAACATTGAAATATTTCAGCCATATTAAAATACATTTCACTTAACAAAATCTATATTGGAGGGAGCATTTAAGGCGAGCAAGAAACCGGTGGACAGCGATATAAGCGGGGAAACATCACCGTGATATACGAGTTGCACAAATAGCATTCTCAATGAGTAAAACAGCATGTTGGAGATTCGTGGCAGCCAATTCTTACTTGATTGACTAAGATTTAGGCAAAAATTCATTTAATCACATAGTCATCTCCTCGTGAGATGCAATTTTTCGTTTTTTTTTTTTTTTTTGAAGCCCCACCCTGGCTCTTGCCAAAGGCCGCAATATAGCCCGGTCATAAATATGGTCTAATGGCTGAACGCGGTTTCCGAGACCTCTCTACGGGTGATCCTATTCCCTATTGTGGCACTTTGTGTCATCGGGTGTTTATCGCTTGGGTGATGTCCTAGTGGGGTAAAATGTACTTCTACTACTAATTTCGGCAAATACAATAAGATAGCTTTCATAGCACTAGGACATTTGTGGAGGTAAACAGAAATTAAAACTGCTGCTAAACTTAACATTTCAAGTCTATCGTCAAATCAGTATTGTTGTAGGGAGCGGAAGCATGGACGACAACTAAAATTACTAATTAACAACAGACATTTATTCATTAACTGTTGCGTTTGTAGAATAGAGGGAATTATATGATATGAAAGAATAAATAATGTTGAACTTTGAGAGAGAACTAAACAAGTTCCAGTGGACTAAGACGTGAAGTAAAGGCAGTAGGTGCGATTATGACCACATCACCAACCAAGTGTCGACTGGTCTACAAAAATAGGTCTAGCCCTATGTGCCCAATACGCCTGAAGGCGTGGACAAGGGTCCTTTGCTTTTTTTTTTTTTTTTTTTTTTTTTTACTTACTAACCTACCACTGACAAAATGGACCTCTACTACAATTAAATTAGTATCCACCCAAAAAAAAAAAAAAAACACACATCAGAGAAAACAAAACTCTATGAGGAACTGTAGAAATAACTAGACAAGACCAGTCACAAAGTTCATTTAAGAAAAAAGATCAGATTGTTTGACCATCGAACTAGAAAGAGGCACAAAGAACCAAACTTAAGAAACACTTTAAATGCACTGCAAAGGAAACACCTTTGCTAGCAAATCTAGAAAATCGAATTGAGCTTCTGGAAATGTTGATATATATTTTTTTAATGGAATTTTATGGAATCAAACACTACGAATAGAAAGACAGTTACAGAAATAAAAAAAAAAAGAGAGAGAGACATTAAATATTTTGGCAAGATCGGAAGACAGAACTCTTTTAAAAACCATCGCTGGATGAAAAGGTCTAGAGCAAGACAGAAAAAGGTAGACAACGATTCAAGTGGGAGGACAACATCCAGAGATGTAAAAACAGCAGTTTGAGAGAATATACATCCAAAACAAGAGGCAGGCCGTGTTGGATATCCATTGCAGGCATCCCCAACTGTGAAGATGAAAACTGATTGATTTATTAACCAGGAATGCCACGAAACGATGGCATCAAAAAACAACGTTAAATAAATATGCAACGCATTAGAAAGAGCATACACAAAACTAGTATCCCAGGTCCTCCTTTGCACAACTGCGATCAATAACTAAGGGAAGGGAAGAAGAACAAGAAGAAAGAGAAGACTGAAATCTTACTGTAGAATAAAAGCACTAATTTTCACCAAAATAACACCAGTTACAACGAATACATTCAAAGAAAGACCAGACGCTCCATTCAGACTAGCCAAATACTTATGTTTGCAGTCTTGTGCCTCTTGCAGGTCATAGTGTAAACCTCCGCAGTAGATATCGGCTCTGGCGGCCTCGGTGCAGTTAATGGGGTAATTACTGACAACTGAGTAGGTGCAGTATTTGTTGGAGTAGACTGTGCCCTTGTCACTTGCCATTAGAGAGAAGATTTTTCTCAGAGAGGCCACGCTCATGTCGGACACATTGTAGGCCTCCGTGAATGAGTACAGTCTGGTCTGTGGAGAAATCAAACGAGCAGGCATTATTACTCAGTTTAACTACACCAGAATGCGGCGTCCGTGGCTTATGCGTTGCTAGTCCGACTCGTAATTCCAATATACCGCGATCGAAACCCACTACTAGCTGCGTGGGTTATCAAAGTACGAGGGTCGCAGGTCAACCTAGCCTAAAATGGGTACCAGGATGGCTGTCCTGGGGAAGTAAAGAGGGCCGGCCACATTACCTACTTCGTGCCGATCGGTCTGTAAAAATATGGGGTGCTTTTTCCATATGCCCCATGCGCCTAAGGCGTAAAAAGGGATGTTTACTTTTATTTCTTTTCTAACAATTCCAGTACTGAACAACGTAATGCAAATGTGCTTCGTTAAATGCAGTCTCGCCTTACACCTTTTCCCTTTTGGAAGGGGTGAAAACATTTTACAGTACGGTAATTTTGCAATGACCGTGTTCGTACGGTCTTGCTCGAATGTGAAGCGTAATTTTACTTTTTAGGTTAGTTGCGTATCCTTTACAGGACGTTGCAGAACCAACCCTCAACAGCCCTTTGCTGTTGTGTGGTTTTTCCAGACAAATTTACGTCCAGTAGATTATGATTGCCCCTGGACGGTCGGCTTTCTTGATACCACTGTCGAAACCAACGCAAGGCGCATGACCCGCAGCTGGGATCGAACCCGGCATCCCGGCATTACGAAGCGTTCGCTTCGACTTAGCCACAGAGCTGACAATTTTACTTGTAGCAGTGTTAAATTATTTATAGAAGAACATCTGAGAGAAAAGCAAAGGATAGATCAAAACAGAGACGGATAAATGATGTAGCTGAAAACTGCAGAATGATCTATCACCCAAGCCACCCGAGAAAATAATGGGAGTGCTACTCCATATAATGTGTAGTCATTGTTTTCGTTGGCTAAGGCGTTGCGAGACCGACTCGTAAGCCAGCATACCGCGATCGAAACCCATTACAGGCTGCGTGGATTTTTATCGTGGTATGGGACGTCGCAGGTCGACCCAGCCTAAAATGGGTACCAGGATGGGCTGTCCTGGGAAAGTAAAGACTTCCGGCGTAATGCTGACCACATTACCCACAGAGTGCTGATGGTCTGTAAAAATATGGGACGCTCTGCCCATATGCCCGATGCGCCGAAAGGCGTGAAATAGGGAACTTTACTTTTTTTTTTTTTACATTGTTTTCGTATTGTGCAAAGTGAAACAAACATGATCCAAACATAAAAAGAAAATTCATACAAAAATTTGTTACAGACCTAAATAAAAACAACAACAGGAAACACTTATATGTTTAATTACTAATAACCTAACTTGTTAGCTCAGGCTCCATCCATTGATTTAAAAATGACATCCACTCTTTTTGTTTTACTTTTTATTCCAAACTGCCAAAAGCCAGTTACTGCCTTCAGTACATAACTTCTGCTGTGTTGGAGCGGGTGGGGTGTTCTTTGAGCCTGAGGATTTACGGCCGCATGGCTAGTGCTGACGCCACGACTGTGCAGATGATGATTTGCCCCTGACAGAAAAAAATCCCCAGCCTTACCGAGGATTTGAACCGGGATCTCCCGCTTGAGAGCCCAGCGTTCTAACAGTGTGGCCAGCTGCTCCTCACTTGTCGTGCGGTCATTAATAAAACAGGGTCAGGCTACATAGTATTTACGACGGTGTTCCCTCCACCTTATGTGCAGCTACTTATCTCGGAAAGGTGTGCAAACGCACAGCTGCCAAACTGTGTATCACTGAAACTGTGAAATATAAGTTCCATACAAGAATTCGGTTTAAAAAAAAATACGAATTGGGCGAGGCTACACACATTGAGCTTAAGGATTATATAATTGTGTACAATTATAATGAAAGAATAATAGTAATAATAGGGAGTGACAAAAACGAAACTCAGAGATCTCATGGTGAGGCTGCCAGGCCATGCAGATCAAACCCGAAGTGGGGAAGAGAACGATGACATAGCAAGTGAGGGTAGTTCTGAATTTTGAGAGTATACATCTTCCCTGTAGCAACATACGTTTGTGAGTCGTGGACTATCTCGTACTCCTATACTACTCCTCGTACTACTATAAAGAAAAGACGGGCTTTAGAGCTGAAATGCTATAGAAAGATTCTAAGAATACCGTGGACAGAGAAGAGAAGAAATACTGACATTTTAAAAGATCTGAACATCAAGGAAGACTGGCTAATAAACAGCATCTTGTTTTGGAAGGTGAAATATTTTGACCATATCAAGCGCCATTCCGGGTTAGGAAAAACATAATTGCAGAATACATGGTGCCAGAAAGGAGGGGCAGGGGTTGACCAACACGAAGATGGGCACAGATTGTTAGTGACTCCTTAAATAGAAAAGTACATGAAGCAGGAGAGCTGGCTACAGACCGAGTTTCTTTTTGACAGACCGAGATGAGAGCGACGTTCTGTAAAGGACGTGCTACATGATGACGATGATGAATAAGGGGTGATGCAGTTTACCGTTAGCCCGAGCGTGATTGTGAGTTCCCCGCCCTTGGTTCTTAAGGAAGGCTTACCCAGGCAGTGCGACCATTTCGGTTACTGTCCGTGAGATTGATGTAGTACTGTTCATAGCCCAGATGCAGCCCTGTGTTTCTGTCGTACGTCACAAGTCGGATGCCAGGGTTGTGTGGATCGGCAGTTTTGGATGCAGTCCGAAACGTCCAAGGTGTGACAGAGGGTGCAGTAAATTGTGTCACTGCTCTGGAACCTGGTGGATAGCAATTTGTTTTAGCAATGCAGCGTTAAGAACCTACGGCGTAGCGTCTGCAAGTGAGTGAAAGTAAAATGTAGAGATTATGTGAACTTGTGAATCGGAGTCGTGGACTATTTACTATTTTTCAGTATCTGACGGGGCAGTTGCCGTGGCCGAGCGGCTAGACGCTCGTCGCGGATCAGAAGGTCGAGGGTTCGCTCCCTCGTGGAACCGGACTTTTTTTCAAAAAATATCTTGGCTCCCAGGTTGACTCAGCCTTGAGTGGGTACCCGGTGAAGTCCCGGGAAAGTAAAGGCGGCTGGCGTGATGCTGACCACATCACCCATCTTGTGCCGATTGGTCTATAAAAATATAGGTCTAGCCCTATATGCCCTATACGCCTAAGGCGTGGAAAAGGGTCCCTGTAAGTCCTTTAAACTAAGAAAAAGAAGAAACACACCAAAATCCTACAGAAGGATGATAAAGGATGCCGTCTCCGGAAAACAATGAAGAAGTCGACCTCCGCGAAGCTGGATACAAAACACTGGAGATGCATTGGCTACGAAAGTACTGGGGAATTGGCTGGAGAATGAGAGACTTTCCGGCGAGCTGTGAAGAAAGCGACGTTCTGTAAAGGACTTGCTGATTGATGTTGAGACAGAAACAGTAGTCAGTAGAGATGGGAATTGCTAACATGATAGTGTTTGTTCGAATCCACGTCAGAGTGGATATTTTTTTTTAAACAATGGCTTGATTTTTTAGGCTGTCATACCAAAATTAATATCAAGATATTTTTTGGAATGTAAAGGGGGCCGGCATTTTATGAGTTTTTTAAAGAGAAAGACTGCTCCCTTAGGACCCCCACACGCATAAACATATACATTTACAAAGGCGTGTGGAAGTGGGACATGAATGATACAAGTATTAAGGTCGAATCATGGGGGCGGGGGAAAAACTATTATCTCTTTTACGCGAATCCATTCTCGCCCAGATGATGTAATAATCTTTACAGATAGTTCTGTGTTGAAAAGCGAATGGGAGTTCTTAGCAAAAGCGAATAGACGTCGCTTAGTGCAGCAAAGATTGGCATATGATATCACAACGTCTAGTTTGAGAATAGAGGTGGAGGCAGTAACTGCAGCCTTTCGCTGGCTTGAGAATGAGTATACACAGATGTTGCAAGAGTAATCGACTCACTGAGCATGTTGAGAAAGGTGGAGACTGGTATGCTCCGTGAAGAGTGGCAATCATCGCTTCAGAGGTCGCGAGTAGTTAGCGTCCTTTGGATATTTTCCCTAGTATGTACCGGTGTATCAGGAAATTAACAGACAGATAGACTGGCTGGTTCTGCACAACTTAGTGGTAAACTGATGCATGACAAGCTAGAAGCACAGATGGATCATCATGGTCTGAGAAGAACGCCTCTGGGAGGAGTGACCAGGGGATCTGGTCGACGATCAGCCCTCAAGGGAAAGGTGAGACAGATACATAATCAGGCAGCTATTGGCACCACTGGAATTGGAACTCTGCGCCAGCTGCTAAAGGTGGGGACGGTGCGCTTATAGGAATGTCCGGAGTGATATGACGTCGATTCCTAATTAAACATTACACAAATCCACTCACCACATAATGTGTTCTTGCATAGTTTTAGGTTGCATCTGGTCAGAGTATGCAAAAGAAATCTTTCTTTCCATGTGCCCCATCAGGACTGCACAACGAGCAACAAACACCCGGTGACACAAAGTGTCACTATTCAGATGAGATCACTAGGGTACCAGTTTCAGAAATCCCGTTCGAAAATTAGGTTTTATTAGGGCCCCGACTATAGCCAGGGTTAATATCATCAAGTGCAGTGCCAGCTGGCGTGGGCGTTCATGAGTCGATACACATCTCGGTTTTTGGTGTTCTGGGTCAATTCTACTGATGATATTCCTCCATGCCACTGTCTTAAGCCTTCACTTCTCTTGGTCTGCCTCTGCCTCTTCTACCAGTGATCTTTCCAGTCATCACGATATTTTCCAGAGCTCATTTTCTCATCACATGACCTTGCTTGTCTCCTTCTCATTGTTGTACATAATGTTCTACTTTCATTAGTCATTTCCACTCCAAGGTATTCTCAACATTGTCCCCAAGAACCACATCTCAGCTGCCTCCAAACTCTTCTCAATTTGTTTGCTCACATTCCAAGATTCACTGCCATACAACTGAAGGGCAGGATAAAACATTTCAATACTCGCTTTCTGTTTAACGAGAGTGATTTATTACATAAAATACTTTCCATATTCTGAAAAGCTGCCTTTGCCTGGCCAGTTCTACTCTTAATTTCTGTCACACATTGTCCATCTGATGTTATGAATGTTCCTTCAAACTTGAATTTATTGACTTGGTTAGGCACTCTTTCTTCTATTGCTATATCACATTTCGGAGTTATCTTCTTCTTTAATATAACCATTGTTTCTGTTTTTTTGATATTCAAGGAGAGCACCTCTTTTGCACTGTCAAGTAGAACAATACCTAATCGTTTTTGTAGGTCTTTTGCATTTTCAGCTATAATGTATCATCTGCACAACGAAGATTGTTTATATTATAACATCCTAGTATTCCTGGTCTATCATGACCTCCCTCTTTATTATTTTACTATAGGGAGAGAAGAGATCAGGTCACAAAACACACCCTTGTCTCACTCTTTGCTTTATATGTTCATAACTACCTGCTTTATTTCCTAATTTAATTACTGCTTCTTGCTTTCAGTAAATTTTTTTTTTATTATTCTGAGATCTTTTCCATCAATGCTAATTTCCTCCAACAATGTTATCATTTCATAATGTTTCACTTTATCGACAGCTTTGGTATAATCTATGAATCACAAATATATGTCTTTCTGTTTCTCCATTGATCTCTCTACTAATGTTCGTACCGTACAGCAGGGGTGGGTCTTTAAAATAAAAATTGCATCCCATATTTGGGGGAGGTTGTTCTCATCTTTCTCTCCAACTGGTACAGCCACTTTATATGTAAGAACCCTTTCTGGGGCAACGGTGCATCGCGTCTGTGATGCTGAACTCATTTCGTTACAAACCAGTCAGGCTCTCTGTGTGTTGAATGGTCCATCCTAGTACTTTACCTGGTACCGATGGCTAGGCTGGACCAACCCGGAAACTACAAGTAAAGTAAAGTAAAGGACCTTTTTCCACGCCTTCGGGCGCATTAGGCATATAGGGCTAGACCACGACCGGCTCCAGCTTCTTTAATAATTTCACAAGGAACTTCTGAAAGGGAGGCAGCTACACCGCCTCGGCTCCCTATTGTGCACTCTTTGACGGTAATGCACCATGAATAGTTTTATTCCCTACCTTCCCTTTAAAAGTTTCTATATAACATTTTCTGATTACGGGGAAAAACAAGTAAAGTTATGCAAATATCGCCATCATGGTGTAGCAGATCCCTCACAGAAGTCGCTCCATCGCAGACTACATGAAAGAAACTTCGTCCCTTGCCAGCTCTCTCACCTCGTGCACTTTTTTGCCCAATGTATCATCTTAATGTCCTGGGCCCAACAAACACACTCTCACACACACACAAACATACAACACACAACACACCAATCACACACAATACCACACACACACGCACACACACACACATACTCGGATTTTAAAAAAAAATTAGAACCAGAAGTGGCAAAGATATGAAGCGAGCATCGTGTGAGAGATAGGTAGTTGTAAACCACCAGGACATCACACAAGCGATAAACACCCAGTGACACAAAGTGCTACCATGCGGATGAGGATCACCCGTGGAGAGATTCCGGAAACCCCCTTCAGTCGTTTGGCCATATCTATTGCCCTGCTATTTTCAGGGCCCCCGGCAAAAGCCAGGGTGGGACTTCAAAATATTTTTTTAAATGCATCCCACGATGGAAGGACTTTAAAAAAATACGAGCATTGTGTGGTAGCAAAAAACATGTCAACTTGGCGTGTGTTGACTGAGGTTTATGCGGCAACTGGAGAATATAGAGTGGGGACAGACGTAACAGGCACTTGATGGGTGATGGCGTCAATATCAGGCTGACCACCTTTATTTCCCAAGACAATTCGGAAAGTAGGAAATGTTACCAGTTTCATCCTGAATGATCTTGAAACCATCAGAGTGATCATGTCCAAACAGGGAGGCAACAATGACATCTGAATTCTGCAGTAAAATGTCCACAAACTGGGTTTTGTGTTTTGGGTAAAACCAGTCGGCCAGTCCTGGGGTCAGCACGCTGGGCGGGATGTGGCCAGTGACAATCACCTGTGATGAGAACAACATGACAGCTGCTTACATTTACTCAAAGAACCAGGAAACTGCATGGGAAAGGAGCTAGAGAAAGACAAAAAGATCAACACTGCTGTGCCTCGGTATTTGTCCGCTTTATAATAAACCTTATTTAGTATACGTCTTGATATTTCCCTGTGGCTTAGGCGTTGCGAAAGTAGGTAATGCAGGGGTACGGTTTCATCGTCAAGAAAGATCTTGGCGAACTACAGAGTGAATCATGTCTTTAAAAAAGGACAAAAGCCAAAATATCTGAATTCTGCGATGTAAAAAAGTCGCAACAAACTTTTTTTTGTGTTTAGGACTCAAAAACAGTCGGTCATCCACTTGTGGGATCAATGTTTCGTTCTTTGAAGCCCCACCCTGGCTCTTGACAGGGGCCTGCAATATAATAAAGTAGAGTAAAGTTGCCTTTTCACGCTTTCAAGAACCGGGAAATGCATGGAAAGAGCGTCCGATATTTTTAGGACCAAAGCATAAATGCTGTAATGTGGTCAGCATTACGTCCGCTGTCTTTTAAGGACATCCCATTGGTATACATTTTAGGCTGGGTCGACCTGCGACGTCCCATACCACGACAAAAATCCACGCAGGCCTGCAGTGCGAACGATCGCGGTGTACGGGGTTACGATCCCACTGCGGGCATTGCCACTGGTTCGGCAGTGGTATAGCATGAAATAAATGGCTAACTACTGAACATAAATTTCCCTAGAACCTCTTCACAACATCCAAATCCACATGGTGGCATTTTGTTTCATCGTGTGTGTATCCTGTGTGTGATGATATGCAACTAATTTTTTAACATGATTAGACGCGAAAGAATTGTTTGCTATGGAATATGACTCAGTGAGAGAATTTATAATCCTTAACAAGGGGGGCAGAGAGAAAGAAAATAAGAAAGAGAAAAAAAAAAAGAAGGATATAAATCACAAGAATTTAAGATTACTGAAGTTATATTGTAAGTTGACTCTCCTTCCAAAAATTATCTTTTCCTCCTTTTGTCATCACCATCCTAGTAGGCATTCTACTTTTCTCAGTAAGCAGCACGGGTTATTTGGGGGCATCATAGAACGGTAGTAAAACGTACAGACAAATATGGCTGGGTCTGATGAGTGTCCATTCGGCCACCAATATTTTGTGTGCACGGCAGGTTGGTCAGCTTTGGCCTTTTCTTCCAGGAATCAGAAGGATGTTGTTTTTTTTTTTCCGCTATTATTTTTCTTCTTTTTATGTTTTTGTCTTTACAACTGCGGTTGGCACGTTGTGCTAACGTTTAAAGCTAGGCTGCAATATCTGCGCATTTCATAACCCACACACTGGGCCGTTAGATGTTGCGAGTCCGACTCGTAATTCCAACGTACCGCGATCGAAACCTACTGCTGGCTGCGTGGATTTTTATCGTGGTATGCGGCGTCGCAGGTTGACAAAGCCTAAAATGGGTACCAGGATGGCTGTCCTGGGGGAGTAGAGACGGCCGGCGTAATGCTGACCACATTACCCACCTAGTGCCATGGTCTGAAAAAAATATATGGCTCTCTTCCCATATACCCGTTGCGCCTTAAGAGGTGAAAATGGATCTTTACTTTGCTTTTCACACTAGGCCGTTGTTTATTGAAACAAATTAGAACAAGATAGATAACTCATCAAAAACTTTAAGCAAAACTTCCTACCTTATCTCCCTTGCTTCGTGCATCCTTCAATTGGTCATCCAACCAGGCCATCTGGCCTGCAGGATCCGACACATTTGCTGTGAGTTTGTTGTTTGTGTAGTACAGGTTTGTATTGAGAGCCAGAAGTCGGAGCTTTGGAGCAATCCTGGCCACGTAGTAACCTCCTGCGGGAGAGTGAGATATGGATGCATGAGTTATGAGGATCAGATTTTCAACATCCTACAGCAAGCAAATGATTACAAACATTAGTCGGCAAATTTCAGAATACAACAGCCAAAGCCCATAAAAACACTTCCCATCCTTTTTAGGATGAAATTTTTCGTTATTTGAAGCCCTAATCAGGGGCCGCAATATAGCCTGGCCATAAATATGGCCTGGAGGCTGAACGCGGTTTCTGGGAACTCTCCACGGTGATCCTCACACACATGGTGGCACTTTGTGTTTATCGCTCGTGTGATGTTCTGGTGGGGTAGAAAGCCAGCCAGTCAGCCATAACCCATACAATACATAAGTCCAACCATGTATAGATCTATTTATTGTTAAAAGTTATCGCGTCCCCATGTAGGATGCAATTTTTCGATATTTTTAAGCCCCACCCTAGCTTTTGCCGGGGGCCCTAAATAAAGACGGGCCTTAAATATGGCCTAACGGCTAAACGAGGTTTCCGGGACCTCTCCACGGGTGATCCTCATCCGCATGTTGGTACTTTGTGTCACCGGGTGTTTATAGCTTGTGTGATGTCCTGGTGGGATACAACTTACCTACCTACCTATTTTTTTTTTTTTCACTGTACAAACTGAATAAATCAGGTGATATTACACATACCTGTCTAACGCCTAGTTTAATGTTTTGAAAAGTTCCAACTTGGTTGTCAATCCTTATGGCTGCATAATGTGTGTCTTATCCAACGCCAACGTCTTTTCTTCACCTCTTAGTCCACTGGAGCTTGCATAGTTCTCTCCTAAAGCTCTACATTAGTGATTCTATCATACCATTTAATTCCCTTTATTTTACGCAGGCACCAGTTAATGAATGTCTGTACTTTATTAGTAATTACCTCAGATGTTCTAAACTGTACGTCACTGCCGCTTGTGGGGAAAAAAACCTGACACGGGTCGCCGTCTAAGCAAAGTCGATAGCGCACACACGCATTGATTACATATATCAGTCGTCAGAAGTGCCAACACAAACAGTTAGACACTATAAATGCAGTTTATCGTCGATGAAGGTAGCAGCTACAACATATCAGTAGTTGCACGGGGAATTAATTATATAAGGCATCGCCAGATTTTCTAGTAACGGCTATTCGCAGTTTTCTGAATCTGCAGTTCACGATACAAGTCGCGTTTGGCAGTTTTGTGTGTGTAGTGCGTGTGTGAGCGGCGAGGGGGTGCTCACGTGTATGTCTGCGAGTATGCATGTGAGTTTGCATGAACATAGAACCAAAGGATGTCTGCCTCACTGACCTTGTCTGAACTGCTCAACCTGTGTCTGGTTACTGATCCAGTTTTCCCACATTTCAGACACTTGGTCGTATATCTCACTCTGGTTGTAATCTGCTTGGTTGCTAGGGTAGAAGTCGTGGTTGCCAAGAGACGCATATACGGGCACTTGTGGGAAGCTGGTGTTGAGAGTTTCTGTGATGTTTGCCACGATCTCAAGGTTGAGGTTAAGGGTCAGATTTGCGTCGGCTATGTGTGCCACACTGTCCCTGAAACGTAAAAAGTTTATATAACTGTTTGTACCTATGTATGTAATTTGTACCCCATCAGGACATCACACAAGCGATAAACGCCCGGAGACACAATGTGCCACCATGCGGATGATGATCACCAGTTAGGCCATATTTAAGAACCGGCTATATTTAGGGCCCCCGGCAAAAACCAGGGTGGGGCTTCCAAATAGATAAGAACTGATTCTTACAAGGGGATAACGAGATGCTAATTATATAACTGTTTGTGCCACATTAGAATTAAATATATCAGATGTTTTCAAAATGGTCATGTTGGTGCTCATTTCTTTTTAAGACAATTTCACGACAACAGCAGTAGTAGTAGTGGCGGCAGCAGTAATCGTATTAGTAGCAGTAGTAGAAAATGCTTGTGGCAGCAGCAGCAAAAGTAGTCGATGTTAAAACTTCCTTGTACACGGATCACTCGATGCAAGTAACGTTTTACGCCAAAAAAGAGAGTGACTTCCCTTCCAATTCATGCCTCGTCAAGTCGCAAGGCTTCTCCTATGTTGCGGGATTGACCTCTATTCCTTATTGTCAACGCTTTAATCGTTCTCTCTGTTTAGTCTTCTCACCGCTCACTTGTAAGTTCTGCTAATTGCACGACGGTTCGGAGTATGGAAACTGCAATATTTCTATTTCTCCGTTCTTTGTCACTGCCTTCTTTGCCCTGGGGGACTAGGGGGGGGGGGGGGGTGTTCCATCGCCAACGAATGTAGAAATACAAAAACATCCCAGTTTCGTTACTCACGGATCGACGCGCCTGCAGCGTTTCCTACTGCAGTACTTCTTACTTGTACACACTTAAAGAGACTCACGAGAACACAACCTTATTATATTACAATATACACTGAGTGAACGCCAAACAAAGCCAGATCGTAACACCCCTGCAACATCAGAGAGGCCCTGCGTCCCGACGAGGCTTGAATGGGAAGGTAAGTCACTTCCTTTCTACGGCGAAAAATTTTACTTGAAACAGTCACCCAAATATTGCTCCGTTCCTGTACCAATGAAGATCACAAGAAATGTCATTCTTATTTCCTGTTTGAAAATGAGTGAACTAATAATCAGTCCCGCGAAAGAAAGAAAAAACAGTCCATGGACCGGTCACTGCAGTGTCGGCGTTGGCTAGCTCTTCGTTGCAAGGGTGAGAAGTGATCATTATTATCCCGCCATAGAAATAGACAATCTGCATTCTTATGTCATGTGATGAGAAGAAGAAAACTAAGTACACAGTGACAGTAGGAAAGTTGGAGGGGAGGAGAGGCAGATAGAGACTGAGAGAGCAGATGCTGGACAGTATGACATCGTGGCATGGAGGATCATCTGTGTCAGAATTGATTGAAAGTACACAAGACAGAAGGTTGCCGATAAACATGACTACCAACGCCACACGGCGTGGACTTTAAGAAAAAGAAGAATAGCCAATCCCATCTTCAAGCGGTGCACACCGAAAAACTGAGGCTGTCAGGTCTCATGTTAAAGGACCTCTGACTCGATAGGTAGGAGGGCATTTATCTGGTTAAATACTTCTCTTTACTGCGACAGGCCTAGCAAGCCGGCATCGGGTGAAATCTTGCTTGAAGAAACAATAAAAACAGAAATTGGACCGATATTTACTGAAACCCTGGCGCTTAAAGGCGGAGAATGAGACACTAAGTCATCCCCTCTTTTACTATCACGTGTTGCTCATCTCTCTCCTCCACATTTATTTTTGAATTCACTCTCTCCTCATTTCTTTGACCACGTGGCTTCCATTGCAAGAATATTCTTAAAATATTGTTATCGGATTTTTCCAGTGTGCGTTCATCCAACGCAAGTGTCTTTTCTTTACTCCAATGCAAGTGTCATTTTCTTCAATCCAACGCAAGTGTCTTTTCTTCCCTCCAACGCAAGTATCTTTTCTTCACTCCAATGCAAGTGTCTTTTCTTAACTCCAATGCAAGTGTCTTTTCTTCACTCCATTGATAGTGTCTTTTCTTCACTCCAATGCAAGTGTCTTTTCTTCACTCCATTGCATAGTGTCTTTTCTTCACTCCAATGCAAGTGTCTTTTCTTAACTCCAATGCAAATATTGGACACTTCTTTTCTTCACTTAAACGCAAGTGGCTTTTCTTAACTCCAATTGATAGTGTATTTTCTTCACTCCAATGCAAGTGTCTCTTCTTCACTCCAATGCAAGTGTCTTTTCCTAACTTCAATGCAAGTATCTTTTCTTCACTCCAACGCAATGGCTTTTCTTCACTCCAATGTTAGTGTCTTTTTTTCACGCCTTGCTTCACTTTAACTGTTTTTTAGTTTATTTCCAAAAGTCCAACATTAATTATTCTCAGTTCATTCTATTCTGCGCAGATGCCAGTTATCTTCCTCTTTTGCGTTTACCCTAATAGGGCGGTTGGTTCGTCGTTTGGTTGTGTCACAGCTAGGCTGTGATATCTGCCGATTTCAGCCCAACAGATCTGATTTCGGCCGAAACTTAATTAGCCGCCTTTTTACTTCGTGCTTTCAAAATAGCCGGCGAGATTTTGACCGCATCATTCATGACGTGCCGAATTTTAGATTTATTTATTTATTTATTTATTTTTGTTAAATATATTATTTGCAAGCGCCATAGTATAAAAAGGTCCTTTACTTTAGGTTTGCTGTTAAGGTATTGGTTCCCGTCTTTAAACACCCCCCCCCCCCCCTTACTCCGGGTTTGTGAAACCCTCGCAGGGGTCACCAGTTCATGAAATGAATACCTTCAGCTACGTAGTCTTGCTACTTCTATAAACTAACATCTGTCGTCCTTACCCGAATAGGACTGCAGGTTACACCAGAGTCGGCCGTGGTTACACCCGTTCACATGTACAATTTTTATGAAGATTCCGGGGGTCACCGCCAGAGCTACAGAGTTCGTGCTCTGTGCGACGCGCTCGGCAGACGGCTAGCTGTTCTCCGGAAAGAGACCGAGCCATATGGGATAAAACCTGGTGCAATGAAGTCAATGCTCTCGACTTTAACCTTTACCCTTAAGCGTAACCGTTCCCTAATTGTAACTTCTTTGGAGGTTGAACGTGGTATCTGACATCCGCCTTATCCCCTTGACCGCGGGACTTCCATTGCAAGAATATTCTTAATATATTGTTTTCGGATTTTCCCAGTGTGCGTTCTCTCAAACGCAAGTGGCTTCTCTTCACTCCTATTCAAGTGTCTTGCATTTTATTTTAGAACTGTATAGTAACATGGTCGGCTCTGTGGCTAAGTCGATGCGAACGCTTCGCTTCGTAATGCCGGGATGCCAGGTTCGATCCTAGCTGCGGGCAATGCGCCTTGCGTTGGTTTCGACAGTGGTATCAAAAAAGCTGACCGTCCAGAAAGCAATGGCAAACTACTGGATGTAAATTGCCCAGAGAAACCACACAACAGCCAGGGGCTGTTAGGTTCTGCAACGTCCTGTAAAGGATACGCAATTAACTTCATTGAATAGTAACATTCTAACCAGACTGAGATTTTAATTTTTTTTATTTTATTTTAAAATTGTATAGTGGCATTCTAAGTAGCAGTCGGGAGGGGATAAAAAAGACTGAGGTTTTAATTTTTTTATTTATTTTATTTTAGAATTGAATAGTAACATTCTAAGTAGCAGTCGGGAGGGGACGAACTGATCAATTGATCGATCGATCGGTCGAACAGCCAGCTTTATCAGTACTTACCCTGTCCATAGGATGAAATCCACGTCTGCTGTAATGTTGGCCATGCTAGCAATACTGTCCTGTACCAGCGCCCAGGGAGAGTCACACCAGTAGTCGCCATATTTGCCAGGTTTTGGTACAGGTTCGAGGCACGAGAGCCTGGATGTCCAGTACGTGTGGTCGTAATGAAGGTCGGTAACGTGCCAGAAATAACCTGCAGAGAATAAAATACAGACAAACAAAATGAGTTCATATTCTGGACTTTGAGAAATTAAATTGTAATGTACATATTGTAGCTCATAAATGCAGAAGCGCGAAGTAAACATAAAAGTTGAGTTGAGTCAGGAATTGACATCACAGCACTCGGGCCATTCCCATGCTTGCTCCGTCCTTATCTTCGGCAGCCAGCTTTGTTTTTGATGGACCGCGGGTGTAAAAAGGTTAGGAACGAGTCACTAAAGTATAGTTAAATATTTATAATTACATCGTTACTGGCCGTGAAATGCATAACCGACGCTGGTGCCGTATCCGTCACCGGCTCCGGGATTGCCTGTGTGTGTTAAAAAAATGACATGAAAGGGAGAACCCAACCGACAGACCAAAACAGGATGTTTCAAGTTGGACTTTGTGATCTGATATAAATCTTCGGGTAGTTGTAGTCAGGATATAATCCTAGCATTATGGGGGAAGGGAACCAATAGACAGGTTACAATAGGCTGGTAAATTTTACACTGGTCACCCCATTTACACACCGCTACACACTAACTCGCTTCTGATTGGACGACCTATATACCACCTTCCTTCTGATAGGTCAGCCTCGAGCGATTAGACTTTCACACAAGATCAAGGGGATAATCCGCACTCGAGCTAATACTTCGTGTTGTATATGTCACCATGCCAGAGCTTTTAACACTTCTAAAACATTTAGATACTAGGTCTAACACACAACTCCCCCAAAGAGTGACAAAGCCTATGTCACAGGCCGTCTCTTTATCGGAAATAAGAATGTAAATACAATACTACAACAGACTGCGATACTCATAACCTCGACCACGGTAGATTAGTTCAACCAACTTATCAATGGAGTTGACCTACAACCGGTGGTGTTTAAATAGGGAGACCATCGTATAAATAACCGGATGGTGTAGCCATTAAGAATGCCCTTATTATAACTTCTTTGAAGGACGAATCGGGCACCTAGGATTTACCTTGTTGGTCTGCCATCCAGATTGAAATAGTTAAATATCAGGATGTCAAACTTTCAGGCGGGAGTCCTAGAGAAAAAAAAAAAAAAAGTTTATACTCTCCCCAGATGGAAAAAGAATACGGGGTGGACAACCTAAGAAAACCCGGAGACAGACAGTAGAGAGGAACATAAAGGAATGTAAAATGGCGTTGAATACCAAAGGTAGACAAACAACAGACTGGCAGCAAGGGAGATCACTAGTGAATGCTATATGAGTGAGTCCACAGTAACAAGTAATAGTACTTTTAGTCCACTAGGACATCACACAAGCGATAAACACCAGATGACACAAAGTGCCATCATGTGGATGAGGATCACACATGCAGAGGTCCCGGAAACCGCGTTCAGCCATTAGACCATATTTATGTCTGGGCTATAATGCGGCCCCTGGATAGAGCCAGGGTGGGGCTTCAAAATAACGAAAAATTACATCCCACAAGGGGATGGCTAGTTAAAAGCCTTTAAACTGCACACAATAACAAGAAGCGATTCATTTCTCGTCCTTTTTAGGATGAAATTTTTCTTTATTTGCTCTGGCTTTTGCCAGGGGCCGCAATATAGCCTGGCCATAAATATGGCCTAAAGGCTGAACGCGGTTTCTGGGACCTCTCCACGGTGATCCTCACCCACATGGTGGCACATTGTGTCATCGGGTGTTTATCGCTTGTGTGATGTCCTGGTGGGGTAGAAAGTCAGTCAGTCAGTCGGTCAAGAAGAGAATACAGATATAATAGAGATATAGTAAAACAACACAACGGTTTATAAACGCAGAGTGGTTTGCAACTACAAAGTGTCGAGCTGTATTTCGTGCATATACATATTACTTTTTTTAAAAATACGGGTAACTGGATGACGTTCAACCCAACCAGGATATCACCCCGAGCGATAAACATTCGGTGACACAAAGTGTCACCATTCGGATGAGGATCATCCGGGGGCAGGTCCCAGAACCCCGTTCATCCCCTAGGTTGGGCTAAATAAGGGCCCCCGGCAACAGATGGGGCGAGGTTTTAAAACAACACAAAATTGCATCCGACATTAGGATGCACAAGGGAGCCACATTGCAAGAGGAGCTATGGGAGACCGGTGGCGACCTTAAACGCACAATCCTATTTGTGACCCAGACGGGACTCAATGTTTAGCATGACTGATGTCGAACGCAGAAGAAAGACGCACTCTTTACGTATGATACAGACGACGCTGTCAGTGCTAAAACAATGACTAAAAATTTGCTGAAGCAGCACTCACAATATTTTTACATTAGAACCGCCACTGACACACTGAGATCAATAATCTCACTCTGGATGGCAGGCCGAAATATCAGTTCCCAGATACCCCGTTCAACCTCCGAAGAGGTTATAACTGGGGCACCACTAACGACTGAACTAGCCAGAGGTATCCAGCAGTCCTGATAAGGGCCAAAAACTGTCCTCCATTATTTCCCTTGGTTAGCCCAGCTGAAACTTACATTTAAAGGGCGATAATACAAGCACAATCCTTCGGTATTAACCAAAGGCAGTAACCAAACATATAACGTTGTGAATTTTTTCGCAATCTTTTCCCAATGTCGATCCCATTTACTTGTGACCCAAACCGCAGCATAACATAATTTAAGATAGAATCACGAAACATGGAAAATCAGAATTGTTGGGACGAAAGGTATAAACATTGTAGTCTAGCTACAACACAGCGTTCCAGGCGCCTTATGTTAGACGAACGCCTATTACTTCCTCTACTTATTAACTTACAATTGTTCGTTATTTGAAGTCCTATTCTGGCTCTTGCCAGGGGCCGCAATATAGCCAGGCCATAAATATGGCCTTAAGGCTGTACGCGGTTTCTGGGACCTCTCCACGGTGATCCTCACCCGCATGGTGGCACTTTGTTTCATCGGGTGTTTATCGCTTGTGTGATGTCCTGGTGGGGTAGAAAGTCAGTCAGTCTATACTAGACGTATACTAGTTGTCCCCATGTGGGATGCAATTTTTAATTATTTGAAGCACCATCCTGGCTTTTGCCGGGGGACCCTGAATATAGCCGAGCCATAAATATAGCCTAACGGGTTTCTGAGACCTCTCCACCGGTGATCTTTATCCGCATGGTGGCACTTTGTGTCACCGGGTGTTTATCGCTCTGTGTGATGTCCTGGTGGGGTACGACTTACATTCATACATACTATTCTAGACAATCTTCTTCTTCTTCTTCTTCAGCATTCCGAGCCCTCGAGGTTCATTGCTGCAGATATCACTCACCTCCATTCATCTCTCTTGTTGGCCTTCTCTTTCCAGTTGGTGACACCAATTGTTTGCAGGTCTGTCTTGACACTATCTTCCCATCTTCTTCTTGGTCTGCCTCGTGGTCTAGGACCATTCATTTCCCTTGTGTGTACAGTTTTTACTTCTCAGTCATCTGACATTCTTTCAATATGTCCCAACCATTTCAGTTTATTTGCTCTCCTTATGCCAGTGATCATTGGTGATTTAAACAGATTATGAATTTCATTATTGCTTCTCACTCTCCATTTCCCGTGTTTGCATCTTTGATGGGTCCAAAGATTCGTTGTAAGACCCTGTTTTGGAAAACCTGTATTATGGCTTCATCTTTTTTACTTGGGCTTCAAGCTTCAGAGCCATATAAAACGACTGGTCTTATCAACGTTTTATATATATTGATCTTGGTGATGCGAGACAGACACTTTGACTTTAGCAGATGTTGAAGGGCAAAGTATACTTTATTTCCAGATTGTATTCTAGATAGTATTTCTTCTCTCAGCATGTTGGAGCAGTTGAAGTTTGCACCTAAGCACTTATATTTTTCCATTTGTTTGATTTTCATATTATCGACGAATGTGGCCGGAGTTTATATCCTTTTCCAGTCTAGTTATTATCATATATTTTGCCTTATCTTGATTGATAACTAATCCCATTTTCTGAACTGATTCTTTTAAGACAGTCAGTGTTTTAACAGTCTCTAGTTCATTTTTTCCAACGATATCAATGTCATATGCATATCCAAGTATTCTTGTAGATTCTCCTATAGTAAACTCTTGTTTCAATTTCCTAATAACTTTCTCCAGGGGCAAGTTGAAAAGAAGTGGGGACAGAGCATCAGTTTGCTTTAAACCAGATGTTTTTTAAAAAGGGTATGACTTTCTGCCTTTATATACAACTATATTACTAGTGTCTTTCATACATAGTTTGGTCATGGTAATTAACTTCTTTGTTATTCCAAAGTCCTTCATGGCATTCTAGACAATGAATTAACTGTGTAGGATGCAAGTTTTAGCTATTTTGAAGCCTCACCCTGGCTTTTGCCGGGGCCCCTAAATATAGCCGGGTCTTAAATATGGCCTAACATTTGAACGGGTTTCCAGAACCTTCGAATAGTGGCACTTTGTGTCACCCGGTGTTCGTTGCTCGTTGTACTGTCCTTTGTTGAACGACACACACCATGAGCTAAACTAGCTGTGTTACCAGCATCCTCCTCAACTCAGTATTACTATTACTTATTATTATCTTCTTCTTTTTCTGCGACACTAAAAGTTGCAGTTGGTACGTTGTGTGTGGTTTACAGCTAGGCTCTGATACG